CCTCCCCTGGCGTGTAGTTGTGTGATCCCGTGGTATGGGGGTCTCTGTCCCTCCCCTGGCGTGTAGTGTGATCCCGTGGTGTGGGGGTCTCTGTGCCTCCCCTGGCATGTGGTTGTGTGATCCGTGGTGTGGGGGTCTCTGTCCCTCCCCTGGTGTGTAGCTGTGTGTCCCCACGGTGTGCGGGTCCCTGTCCTTCCCCTGGTGGTCATGTGCAGGCACGTTGTGTGTGTGGTTTCCCACTCAGTGTGGGTGTCGGCCAGGGCACAATCAGGGCTGTTCTCTGCCTCTGCCACTCACAGGTCGTGCTGAGACGCCGCTAGACTTGGAGTCGCAGGTTGAGTGGACCCTGGGCTGTGGCTCTGGTCTGTGGCCAGTGGAGAGGGGCCCCCCGGCCCGCTGGCCTCCCCATGGGGTCGGGTCAGGGGTCATCCCAGAGGACGTCTGCAGCAAGGGCCCTTCCCCTCTGGGAAGTCCACGCAGGCTGGCTGGGGTCTTTGTGGTCAGACTTTGTGGTCAGACACTCTTCCCAGAGTCCAGGGCACCTAACCAGAGTGACCAGCTGTTGCCAACGTGGATGGAGCCCAGGCACCTTGGTGTCTCAGTCACTCCCTGTCCCCTCCAGCCCAGGCCTTGGGGAGGGCCAGCATCACAAGATCAGGGCTTTGCCTGTTGGAAGCCACATCCCGTCACGGGGGACGCCATGTTTCTGAAGATGACAGCGCAGCTGATGCTCCGTGACTTCCTGGGAGGAGGCGAGGCGCGGTGACGACTGATGCAGAGCCCAGTGCTGCTTCCCGGGGTGCTGGTGGGCTCTAGCGCCGCTGGCTGTGGCAGCGTGGCTGGCGGTTGCCGCGAAGGATCTCCTCCGGGGCGGGGCTGCCCAGCAGTGCTGGGCTGCTATGGGCCAGGGCACCGTTTCTGACCAGACCACAGGGCCGGGGGCGCAGAGGCGATGAGGCCCCTTAGGAGGCTTTGGGCTTTGGCCGCCTCTCGTGAGGCCGGGAGGATGTCCCCTTAGCCCTGCTACTGGGTCAGAGAGTGGGGACTTTCTGTGGGTGGAGCTGCCTCTCAGAGCAGGGTCTTGCCAGGCCCAGGCCTTGAGTCAGATCTGCCAGGTCCCCAGCGTGCAGGGTCCCCAGTGGGTCCCCAGCGTGCAGGGCGTAGCGCTGGCAGTGGTGCTGCCTGGCCCAGCCCCTGGCCTGGGCAAGGCATGAGGCTGGGGGGCAGGTCCCAAACCCAGCCCTGCAGATCCGGCTTCTGCAAACTCCCTCGCCCCCTGCCGCTGCTCCCACTGCCCTCCTCGGCCTGGTGGGGGGTCCCCTGGGAGATGGTCCCTGGCCTGGGCATCCTCTCATCACCCCCGCCTCAAGTTGTCCTGGTTTGACAACTAAGGAGTCTCAACACGCAAGTTGCAGGATAAAGAGGGG